CTTCACGCGGTTTCGGCATTAAAAGATTCCATTATTAAAGGTATGAGAGTTGTTTTATGTATATTAGATGGGTGGGGAAGTGGCATAGACAATGAATACAATGCTATTAGTAATGTAAACCTGGAAATCTCAAAGACTTCATCAGTGATCTAAAGAGTAAAAACGGTACATGCCATATAGTAGGATTGATCTCCGATGGTGGTGTTCATTCACACCAGAAGCATATTTCAATCCTAGCAAATAAAATATCACAACAGGGAATTAATGTAGTAACACATGCCTTTCTAGATGGCAGAGATACGCCTCCTAACTCAGCAAAAAAGTGCATCCAGGAATTTCAAAATGAAATAGAGGATAGATCTTTTTCGAAACCGATTTATGGTGAGGAGTATTTAGAAGAAGTACAAGCGAGCAACACAGAATATTTGGATGCATTTGAAGAGCTTAGTTCATATTCGACAACAAAATTGTCATCAGAAATTGAGTTTCGCAAGGGGTCTAATAAAATTGCTACTATATCTGGACGTTACTACGCTATGGATCGTGATAACAGGTGGGAGAGGACGATCGAAGCTTACAAGTCCATCGCCTTTGCGGAGGCACCTCGTTATGATGATGTTATGTCATATATTGATGAAAACTACGGTAATAATGTAACTGATGAATTTATAAAACCTTCGGTAATCGGCGATTACCAAGGAATAAAACCAGAGGATGGAGTGCTATTAGCCAATTTTCGCGCTGATCGTATGATGCAATTAGCCAACATATTATTAGGCAAAACTAACTATGCTAAGGTGGCGAAGTTTTCTGCAATTTTAAGTATGATGCAGTACAGCACAGATTTAGAAATTCCTTATCTTTTTTCTCCTATTTCTTTTCCTCAGACTTTAGGTCAGATTGTATCAGATCAAGGATTTAAACAATTACGCATTGCTGAGACTGAAAAATATGCTCATGTAACTTTTTTTTTTAACTGCGGAAAAGAAGAACCTTTTTCTGGCGAGGAGAGAATACTCATTCCCTCGCCAAAAGTTAAAACTTATGATTTGCAACCAGAGATGTCAGCCCTTCCACTGACTGAAACACTCTTGGAAAAGATTTACTCTCAAGAATTTGCACTGATAGTTGTCAACTATGCTAATCCTGATATGGTTGGCCATACAGGAAATATTAAAGCAGCTGAGCAAGCGGTGCTGACTGTTGATACCTGTCTTACGAGAATAATGGAGGCTATTCAAGAAGAGGGTAACACTGCGTTGATTATCACTTCAGATCACGGCAATGTGGAATGTATATTTGATGAAGAAAATCAGGTGCCACACACAGCGCATACCTTAAATAAAGTACCATTCATTATATGTTCCAATTCTCACATTAATCTAAATTTAAAGGACGGAACACTATCTAACATTGCTCCTACTATTTTGCAATTACTTAGCTTGAAAAAACCGGACGAGATGACAGATAGTTTACTGATTGTGTGAGAGGTTGCATACATTGCAGTTTCGCTCTTAATAAGATTAATTAGTATATTAATAATATAGGAGTAAATTATGCCGAGGAGCAATCGAAAAAGATGTTAGAAAAAAAATAAACGCAACTGATTCACAGTAAACTGGTAATAATATATTAAAGATACTTCTTTATATCTAGCTGCTATAGGTGCTCATATGGATGTAGTAAAAGCTCTGGTAGGACAGGGGGATATTAATCTTAACTTCTATAAACCAAAATTTAAAGAAGCAAGAAGAAAGTGGTAGTTTACCCATTAATAAACAAGGAGAAACTCAAATGAGATATTATACATAAGAAACAAAATGGAAACAAATTTTTGCAAATTTGAAAAGTATAAAAGAAATACACAGTAAAGAGATTATAATTCCTCTAAAAAGAAATCGAAAAGCGCGGAGATACTATTACGAATACGTTTATAAAGAGAGGCATTTTATCGAGTATTTTTTTTGTAAGATAAAACATTTTAGGCGGATTTTTTCTCGACTTGACAAGACTGCAGTAGTTTTCATGAAGTTTTTAACTTCGTTGGTGCTCCGTATGGATTGCTTGGATTTTGGTTTGTAGAGGTTGGCACCTCCGCCAAAAATCTCTACCAATCTCATATAACTATATATTAATATATTAACTTAACATTAATCACATGTCAATATTGATAGTGTTTTAAAGATATAAGGTCTTTTATTTTAGTACCAGATGGCTATAGGTTTGAGTCTATGATAGAGAAGCAAAGCTGTCATGTAAGTCTTTTACTAAAACTTCAGCATATTCTTTTTTAATGATGATGCTAATTTTGATTTCTGATGTTGAAATAGCAAGCATTTCTATTTTATTTCTCTCTAAAACCTTGAATATGTTATACATCACAGCAGTATTGGATGTAATACCTATACCGATGATTGAAATTTTCGCTATACTATCATTTATAGTATAATCAATATTATTACCTAATAACTTTTTTGCTTGATCAATGTCACACTTGGTAGTTACTAAACTTGCATTATGTATCATGTCAACTCTTATATTTGCACCTACTATATCTTTCAAAATATGTAAAGTAAGATCAGTGAAAGCAATCAATACCTCATTAGTGCTATATGTTATCCCAGTTACTAAATGTTTTTCCAATACATCGTTATTGGGTAACACAGAAGTACCTTCGGATTCTTTAAAAGTGGAAAGTACTTGCAGTTTTATATTATGCCTCATTGCTATTTGTATTGAACGATTATGTAAGATTTTAGCACCAGATAAAGACATTTCCAACATCTCATCATAGGAAATAGATTTAAGTCTACGTGCTTTGGGAACAATTTTTGGATCAGTTGTATATATTCCATCAACATCAGTAAAAATTTCACAAGTCTTAACATTGAAAGCTACCGCTAGAGCCACAACAGATATATCTGAGCCTCCTCTACCAAATGTAGTTAATCTATTATTACATACACCCTGAAAACCAGCAACTATTGCAACTGAGCATCCTTCGGAAAATGACTTTTGTAAACAGTCAATTTTTACTTCCTTTATTTTTGATTCAGAATAGAAATCATCGGTCACAATTGGTAATTGCCAAGCAAGCCACGACTTAGCATTAATACCTATAGACTGCAGTGTGATTGCTAATAGTCCACACGAAATTTGCTCACCTGCAGAAAGTATCACATCATATTCTGATAGTTCTTGCTGACAACTCAGGCTTGAGATGTGTTGAGCTTGAAGGGCCATTTGATCAGTGAAACCCGCAGCTGCAGATACAACTGCTACTACATTATAGCCTCTTTCGATATCATTTTTTATTAGATGCGCAACCCTATTTAGATTAGTTAAAGAGGTTCCACCAAACTTTTTGATAACTATATTATTCACTACCTGGTTAAAAATAAATGCACTAAAATAGAACTCTTTCGAAGTCGATGATAATTTATTATTAAAACTCTCTTCAAACACATCCTGCGGTACTCTTCTCCTAAAAACTTCTCGCCATAAATTAAGTTTCGGAATAGGTCGAATAAATTACTACAACCCTTATTTGAATAATGCACGTGATATTTTATGTAGAAAGTTCTTATGCAATCTTATCCAAAAAAAGCAACTTGAACTATACTTTTAGCATAGAAACTACTTTATCATTACTTGGTAATAAATTAATTTTCCCAATTGCAGCTAGGGTGGTTTTTTCACACTGAGATAGTAATTTCTCTGCTACCTCTTTTATATTAATAGCATTTACAGCACTAATTTTTTCTATTAACTCATGTTTACTGATGTATTTTTCATAGTTAGCGTAATAATAGCTTAAGGTTTCAGCGCGTGAGCTGGTACTTTCACGAGACATTAAAATTTGAGATTTGATTCTTTCTTTCACTCTACTTACTTCCTCTGCTTTTAGATCATTTGTGCATAATTTTTTTAATTCTGTTGTTATAGACTGTAAAAGTCTATCTAGATTGCTACTGTCTGTGCCAGCAAAGATCGAAAGTATTCCTGTATCCGTGTAGCTGGAATTGAATGAATAAATGGAATAAGCCAAACCTTGCTTTTCTCTTATTTCTTGAAATAGGCGTGATGACATACCGCCACCTAAAATAGAATCAAGTACTTTGAATGTGTAATACTTATCATCATGACGAGATACGCCTGGAAGACCTATTAACAAGTGCACTTGATCTAACTTTCGGTTCTCCAAGTACTCACCACCAGTGTAATCAGCAGCATCATTTTTTTTTGACCCATTGGAATGAATTTTTGATAGAGCATCTTTGGTTAAGACAACAATTTCTTCATGCTCAATGTTTCCTGCAACAGCAAGCAATATATTTTCACCAAAGTAATGCTCTCTTATATAATCATTTAGATCTTCTCGAGAGAAAGATTTTACGGTCTCTTGTGTGCCTAAAATTGATCTGCCAAATGACTGGTCCTTGTAAGCTACTTCCATGTGTTTATCAAAAATAATATCATTTGGTGAATCATTGGTTTGAAAAATTTCCTGTATTATAACACTTTTTTCACGCTCTAACTCATCTTCTGGAAATATAGAATTTATTAATATGTCTATTAATATATCAATGCCAATTGATAAATCTTTCTTGAGAACTTTTGCATAGTAAGAGGTGCTCTCTCTTCCGGTGCTGGCATTAAACACTCCACCTATATCATCAAAAGCCTTAGCAATTTCAAATGCAGTTCTGGTTTTTGTGCCTTTGAAAGCCATGTGCTCTAAGAAATGTGATATCCCACTCTGACTTATGCTTTCGGCTCTGCTGCCGACACCAACTCTGATGTTGAAAGCAACAGAGTCTACATCGCGCATATGTTCAGTAATGATACGCAAACCATTATTTAATTTTGTTACTTGAGGTATATTCATCACTAAACCCGTTTTAAATTTTCTTCAGCAAAATCCCAGTTAATTAAATGATCAAGAAAGACTTTGATATAATCAACTCTGCGATTTTGACAGTCTAAGTAGTATGCATGCTCCCATACGTCCATAGTAAGTAATGGTACTTGATTATGGGTTAATGGTAAATCTGCATTTGAAGTTTTGGTAATCTTTAACTTGTTATTTTCCAATACTAACCATACCCACCCGCTACCGAATTGATTGACTCCATGTTCAGAGAACATTTCAGTGAATTTTTCAAAACCACCCAAATCATCTTTTATTTTCTTTGCAATCAAAGTGTCTTCTTTTGGCTTGCCACCACCGTTTTTTTGGATTGAGCTCCAATAAAAATTGTGATTCCAAACCTGTGCTGCATTATTGAATATAGGGAGGTCTCCTTGAGCTTTTACTATTAGCTCTTTAAGTTCCATATGCTCGTAGTCTGTATCTTTTACCAACGTATTGAGTTTATCTAGATATCCCTTGTGGTGCTTGTTATAGTGAAAATCCAAAGTTTTTGCGGATATGTAAGGCTCCAGAGCTTGTTGCTCGTATGGAAGCTCAGGTAAAGTAAAACTCATACTAATCTCCTTATTTTTAAACCTATTGGAATAGTATGATAATATGGACTTTGATGCAACATGTAAAATCTACAGCAGTCTTTTAATTACCTATACTCCACAATAGAATAGAGGTGTGCTACATACGGTAAAGAGGAATTTAAATGAATAGCTGCTGATAACTATTACCAACATGTATTCTCTGGGTAAAACATTAAATATACATAAAATACTAACAACAATGTGTGTATCTATTAGCAGGGAAATAATTGTACTGCCATTGTTTCTGAGCTACAAAAATTTACCAACAGTTATGTTGCGTATCCATAGATATAATTTAATATTAATAAGTTATGCAATATAACATGCAATAATAGAAGTGATAAAATTGACACTATATTTACCAAACACGGTATGAAAAACTTCATTATCAACCTTTGACCATGAAGTAGCATTTAAGCTATCCTCAACATAATAGTTATTGCTGTTATTACATTCATTATGATTGCAAGCTTGATGCAAAACCTGCTTTTTCTTTGCCATAAAATTCGGCTATTAAATCTGTTAACAAAAAAGTCAAAGGATATAATATTGCTCCCACGGATAATTCAAGTGACAAAATGGGCAAAGAAACAAATTTTTGATATATTAAATTGCCAGTTACAATGAGAACTGCAAATAATACACATAGAAAGATATATATTTTTCATCTGCTGTCATAAGCAATTTTGCATTTAGAGTGAAATCATTACTACTTAGATAAGTAATCTTACAATTATTTGCTTTTTTATAGTTAGGAATGCTAAAATAAGAGTCGTTTTTGATT